GGACACTGTGACATAATTGTGAGCCAGTTGCCGAGTGCCCAAGTCATGATCACATGACTGTGGAGATGTTGCAGTGGGAGCAACTATGAGGACCCATTGTAAGTCCTTATTCAGCGCCATCGTAACTTTGAATGGTCACTGAATGGGTGGTCATAGATACAGGTAGTCATCACTGAATGAGTGGTTATTCAGTGAGGACTACCTGAATCTACAATTAATATTCTTATGAGAGACCCACGCACAAGGGCATCTGTGAGGGGAGAGGGTAAAAAAGTTGAGATGGTGCCTGTGACCATAGAATCAACCCCCCATGTGGCACATTACATTAAAAGGGGGTGAGGCTTTGATCTCATAATTGTGGCTGCCATCTTAATTTTTCTGATACCCTCTCTTCCCCACAGATGCTCTGTCTGTGCAATAAAAGAACTATAAAAGATCCAGTCAATCACGGTCAGGATACTATTGAGGAGAAGCTGGTGTTTTTGTCACATATCAGTCATCTCAGAATTAAGAACTAAGAATTAAAACAGAAGTAGAGATTCACACCTCTGATAACATGAAAAAATGAAAAAAAAATTGTTTAAGGGTAGTAATGTAGAATTTGAGGGTACTGTTTGTTACTGTGATACTCATTGCAACTATGATTTAGCATACTATGTGAACAGGGAAACAAGATTTGTTTATCCCTTAAACTTCTAATCTTTTCACAGAGGCAAAGGACAAGAGCTGCTAGAAAGGAGGGAAAACAAATTAGAAATTTGCCAAATACAGTCATAAATATTTTGTTTCTCTGAAAGATTGATTCTGGCTTATTTTTTGTTTGTTCAACAATCTGTGACATAGCCATTAGAGATAGTCTGTTCACAGTCCTGCAAACCTCAGCTCTAAAAGTCAACACCATTCCAGAAGGCATGTTTATTTGACCAGTATCAGTTGGATCTTTTTCTGGATGATTAATTGAGGAACCCATCTACTCTATCTCTAACTCGTGGTTTAGGAACTTGTGGCTTAAACTAAGGAAGAGTCTTTAAATTACTTATCACCCAATACATTCAAAACATATCAACTTGTGATTGATGGAAATAAGATGTTCTCCCTTTTCATCTGTTATCTCATGTCCCTTTCAGTAATTATATCTTCAGTCATGCTAACTGACATTGCCTTTAGCCATGATAGAAAGTCATTATAATAAAGCTATGATGTGACCAATGACGATATCACTTTTAAGAATTTGATAAGAGGAGCAGCCAGTTAGAAAACTAAATACTATCGTTACCACACTCGAGTTCCTTTTCAATCTTGTCTGATTACGCTTCTGCCCTTCATATGGAGCTTTATTTCTGTAAAGTATGGCCAGCTGCAATATGATAATGGGTGTCCTATGTAATAAACAGAAGATGATATTTTCATGTTGTCATAGAAACTGTTAGCTGCTGTGTTACAAAGTTCACAGAGTCATTATTCTATAGCAAATGAAATCTAACTTCATGATTTTGGCTGAAGTCTAATATGATCAAACTGATATATGAACTATTCTTAGAGACAAATAAGGGTATAAGCATTTTGTTGATAGCCCTCATTTTCTCAGCAGCTTTTGATGTCATCAGTCATGAGTTTCTGCTGGGACTGCCTGGATGGCATGAAAACAGGCCACGACATGGCTGTGATTCTGCTCCTTCTAGATGGGAAGATTTTATAAGATAGAAGTGCTGAAACACTACTGCTCTTCTCTGTCCTCGTTATCCGATTCTTCAGAAATATATCTTGTCTTTTACATTTTAAATACATCTCTGAGATCTTGTGTGAATTTCTTGTGCAATCAGTATTCTGTAACAATCTACTGTCTTTGAACTCCTCACTATAAATGGGTTGCCTCTTCTATGAATTAGGGTCTGATGTCGATAATGAAGTAAGTGGAAGTGAATAATGTGAGACTCAAAGTAGGAAGACATAAATACGTAGTAGGGACCCCACAAACCCAGAGATGGGCAATATGTCTATTCTGGATGGGATCATACTACCTACAGGGGACCAGATTTACAGTTGAGAAATATCCAGAATCCAGTATTATTGCTGGATGCCCAGGAGTAAGGCATGGGTAGAAGTGTTACTCTACCTAATTTTAACCATCCCCATTTTTGTAGAGAAACCTGGAAAGACTGCCTCTGTGGTGGTGGTGGTGGTGCGAGGTCCAAAATAATAAAAGTGGCAGTTGTGACTACCATCTTGACTTTTTTTTACACCCTTCCCCTTGCAGGCATCCCTACTCTTACCATAGTTTGGAATTTGCATTGGTTCATAACCCAGTAGCCTAATTTTAGTGAAGTATAAACTAAAATTTCAACTTTATTGTGGGCTCAAATTCAGGCTACCAAAATGGTCTCACTTGATGAAAATTATGCTATTTCAATTGCTAAATCCATTAATTTATATGAACAATTATCAGAAAGCAGGGGCTGCCTATAGGTATCTGTAGCGTGTATGGAGATTGCCTTGAAGAAGGAATGCAAGAACTGTTTAAATAAAAGTCAATTTAGCCATGGGAAGGAAGAGGGGTGAGAAAAAAACTCAAGATAAATTTGCCTTGATTCTGTGTGGTCTAAGAGAGACAGAAGGAAGCTCTAACAGGCTTTCAAGATTCTGTTATTATATCCTACAGTGATAGTAGACCTTATACTGTCTGTTCCCTGACCTGCCGCACCTTGAAGGGCTGACATCATTTGGTACAAATCACAGTAATATCATGTGCATGATATCATCATGGTGCATGTAATGTCACTTGCTCCTACCCTCCCCCTGCCGTATCCATGGCACTGTTCTACTTTTAGAGTTTGGAATGGCCAGCTCAGGTGGTAGATGTCATTGTGGATGGGGAGCAGCAAAAGTGACCACATATAGGCCCTAGGCCCACAACATGTTTTAATTAGTCAGCCACTAACCTGAAGACCACCTGGAAATTGCAACTGCTCCAGAATATAACATCTCGCATGGTACGGACACCTCTCAGTTTGCCAATATTACACCATTGCCGTGTGAGCTACACTGGCTTCTAGTTTCTTTCTGGGTGCAGTTCAAGATGCTAGTTATTTTGGGTGAAATTCAAGGTGCTAGTTATCACCTACATGGCACAGGGGTAAGTTATCTGAGGGACCTCCTCTCCCTGAGGGTATCTGCCCATCCCACTGGATCAGACAGAGTGGGCATGCTCCTCTAGGTACCTTCCATCAAATGTTGCCACCTAGTGGGACCTATGAAGCATACCTTTTCCATAGCAGCCCCTGCCCTGTGGAGCATCCTTCCCCTTAAGATCCATCTTAATTTTCTGGAAAACTGTTAAGAGCTGGCTTTCCCCCCAGGCCTTGGAATAGCAATTTTAATGCCCGGGAGATGCTCTACATAGCTGGATGGATGTAGTTGTTGGATTGGCCACCTGACTTTTGTTTTTTTTGTATTGTTTTTCTTGTTTTGTTTTTATTACTGCTGTTAGCCACCCAGAGTTGTGTCTCATGAGATGGGTGGCCATATAAATCTTTTTAAACAAACAAACTGGTTCACAAAGTACAATGTTTGAAACACAGAGACTCCGCCGACTTTCTCCAGGAAGTTGCTAATCCTTGCACTACAATAGTACTGACAGATCTTCATTTCACCACCCTCTTTTCCTGTTGGTAGGCAACAGTAGGTCCGGCTTGGCCACTGTTGCCAGCTGGTATTTGGGAGATGTGTTCTTTGCTGCCACCTTAGCAATGTGTTATAGACGAGGTGACTTCTTTCTCTTCAGCTCCTTTTCTTCAAGGAAGGACAGCAATGCAAAATGGACCAGTTGACTTGGTTCAGGTGTTCCTACAATAAATAGCTTAACCCTGCGTATCACTGGGTCTATTTTGGGTTAAATTTAACAGCACCCCCAGGAGATAACTGTCTGAACCACCTTCTGAGTGGTGGTGAGGTTCTGGCAGGGGATGTAGGGCTTCTTCCTATCTATACTATGGTATCTAAACCAACCAGTTATATAACATTAAAGGAGAGAAAACAGAAGCAGAAGCAATATTATTAGTGGGAGTACTTTATTAAGAACTGATCGAATTATACTCACTAATCTACAGCTGGTTCTGAATACGTTTACATGTACATTACCATTACAATAAGATCAGTTTCTATTATGTGTATTTAATTTATATATACAATATGAATTAAAGGTAGTTTCAGTCCCATTGGTCTTAGTGGGGAATCACAGCCCAAATGGCCAAATGTTTTTCTGTTAGGAAGACTAAAATCAAGGGTGACTAATAAGCAATGAAAATCTAGGTGAAAAAAAATTGGAAGGAAAGGCTCAGCATAATTTTTCATATGTAATTCATACTTCTTCCATCTTTTTTTTTACTTACTATAAGAAAACCCATAGGAAAGAAGGGGAAATGGAGTAGCTGCAGAATGTCTTTTAATTGGTAGCTGCCAAATAACAAAGAATTAAAAAACTTTTTTTAAAAAATCAATCTTTTTGCCTCCTATCCCAGAAGTCATGGCAACCGGCTTCAGAGAAGATTGTTATGGCTGAATTCAGATACAACAGTAAGCCATAATGTATGGGTTGCATGAGGCACGTATCGCACTAGGGCTGGGCTCTGACTTAGCCTATGTGCAAATGTGCAAATTACAGCCATGAGGATTGGTTTTCTCCTCTGATTTTTCTGCCACCTCCTTCAGCCTGTCACCAGACAGCAGGAAATTATGCCCCAGTGTAAATAGTGCGGGTCTGACATTACTGTGCAATTCTGCAACTTCAGGATCCGTCTGGACTTTGCTAGGCTAGTTTGTCTGCACATCCTCTCAACACTCCTTTTGGGCATTTCTCCAATGGAAAATAATATGAAATGAAGAAATGTATGAGAATACACGAGAATCCTATATACATATATACATACTGTACATCTACAAAAAAATTAAATTAACTAAGCAGAACCACACGTATGATAATTCAAATAGTAAAATTGCACACATATAAAAACACTAGGGGAGAAATAATCTCAAAGTGGAGGGAGTTGTCTCCTGCCACAATTATACAGCTAGCAAGGTCCTGTAGCGCTGAATAACAAACAAATTGGCTGTTGGATAACTATGTCTCTTACTTCACCAAGCAAAAAAAAAAAAGATCAAAAACAGACAAATATAGGTAAACTGGCTAATAATCAAGATAAGCCCAGGTCAACATCCCTCAGTAGCCATTTGAATGAATTTCAATTTCCACCAAATGGATCTGTAGAAAGCTTCTTTTAGCAAGAATGAGTGTTCATGCCACTTGTCCACTGCTTGTATGATCCAGGGTTTCATCATTGCAGGATCTATAGATCACTGCATGCAGGGAATCCTTGGATCGCTGCTCTTTCTGTCTTCCAACGAAAAAGTAAACAAAAGGATTGAGGCTGCTGTTGATTAAATTAAGCAAAAAAAAACTATGAATGATGGTCCAATTTAATTCCATTGCGGGCTGCATGTATTCCATCAGACATAAGATTTTGTGTGGCACAGCAAAGATGAGAAATAGAATGACTGTGATAACAATGGTACGATAAAACCGAGCTGGAGTCTTTGATTGTGAGTGTCTTGATATTTTGACAAACAGGCTGAAGCTACAAAAGACCATAGTTGGCAAAAATAGCATGAAAATGATTGTAATGAATATATTTGTAGGGTGTATAGTTCCGGAAGAGGTATATTCCTGCCAACATATATAGTCTATTCCAACCATGATACAGGAGAGGACCCAGAGGAGAGTGCACAGTATGGTAGAAAGATGCTTTGGCCGATTGAAACGATAGCAGAGTGGGAAAAAAGTGCCCACATACCTTTCCACGCTAATTGCCGTCAAAAGGAAAAAACTGGTGTTGAATCCAAAAAAAGTCAAGCATTGAAATACCCAATAGAAGTATGGATCCAGACCAGGGCTATCCCATATAACTAGATGGATAACGAAGTATGAGATGTAACAGAAGAGGACAGTGAAATCAGCAATGGCTAAATTCAGCACGTATACGGTGTATTTTGTCTTTTTGATTTTACAACAGAGAAACCAGAAAATAGCTCCATTGCTGAAAAGTCCCAAAACAAGGACAGGGAGAGCAATACATGACAAAATTTTCAGATTCTCCTCTTCTCGGGATGAATCATGAAGCATTTGGGTCTCGTTTATCTTTGCTGCATGAGCAGTGCGATTGGTCTCTACAATCAGGGCATGTATGGAATGACCAGTATTCTTCTCTTCTCTGTAAAAATAGGAAGAATCCCACAATGATTAGGATTGTTGAACTTTGTACTGCAAATAAAAGGACTTGGAAAGATCCATCTAACAAGAAAGACTTCTGATACTTTTCTTTCCTGGTATTATAGCATTTATGTCAAGACTTTACATGCTTTTACTAAATAAATTGTTTATGACGTTTTTATTCAAGCAGCCTTTTTTCTAACATTTGCAGCATATGAATTCACTCAATCTACCTATTTTCTTCTTTCTGCTTTCCAATTTTAACAAGTTCTGTGAAATGTAAAAATTTGATCCTGAGCCAGCTTAAATCTCCAGTAAGAGAAAACATGTTCCCTTATTTGTATCTCCACCATAATCCCTCCTTCCCTCATCTGTCTCTGGATGCAACCATTCCAGCAGGCTGCTGAACAAAGAGAAGAAAAGTGGGGTCACTCTGGGAAAACCAGCTACAGTACAATACTTTTGGCTCTTCCTGGCACCTAAATGTGTGTGTTTTTCTTTCCTCCCCATTCCTTTTTCCTTTTCTTTCTTAAGCTATTAGCCCGCGTGCATGGAATATCTTGTTTTTTGTTTTCTTAACCTCTCTCAGTTGCACTGAATGCATTTTTTTTTTTCTGAAATTCACATGGGGCAGAGAAATTCCCATGCATTTCCTTCTCTGAGTTTTCATTCCATTTTATGGAACAGCTATTCTTTCAAGGGAGAAGAGAGTTTCAAACCATTCTCATGAGCAGAGTGAGGAGTTTTTAAATTGATTACCTTGAAGACACAACTGCTCCAGCTTGCTTTAAGCTGGAGTAAATAGTCACTCTCTTATGACCAGGAAGCAGATGGCCTTGGATGTGCCACTCAAACTAAGAGTTCTTTGCAGGAATCTCAGCCAAAAGTGGCTGAGAGACTGGGACTTCCTGCTTTTCGTTAACTCCCTGAAACAAAAATCCAGTAGTCTAGCTGGGTCAGAACCACCTGGACATTGTTGAGAGTGAACCTTCAGTGAACCCTTTCTGTAATGTTTGCAGGACCTGCCTGATCATGGGAGGTTTGTTTAGCCTAAGACAAATTCAGTGTTGTTTGACGTTAAAGCTAATCTTCACACTAATCTTACATCTGGTTGGATGCAGGTGATTGCCCTAGACACTATCACCACCCCTGACTCAGTTGTGACATGCAAATATGGCCACTTAGTTATTAGGTATTATTGAGCAAGATTATGCTCAAAATCCTACAAGCTAGGCTTCAGCAGTACGTGAACCG